AACAACCCAGAACACTTTATTATTTGACAACAACTGCAAGAGTATTTAATGCTCAAAACGAGAGAGCGACTTATTGCCCACCAAAGAAGATTGATTATTAAAACAGAAATGAATACATTTTCTATTTTGATGAAAGAAAAGATGTGAGCAATGTTTTGAAAGACTGGAAACCTCTGACTGTCTTTTCAGAACAAATGACAGTGCTTTGATGATTGTTGTCTTTGAGTTAAATGAATAGATGAAGTGTAATTTTTAGATTAAGTAAAGGAAGGTTGGGATTGCATGATTTAAAATATATGACAAGGTTTTTAACATTTGCCCTTGTGCTTTGCTACTCTGCTGCTGAATACGCATGCCCAGTGTGGAATATATCTCACCACGTTAAAACAGTGGATGTGGCTCTTAATGAGACATGCCTCATTATCACAGATTGTCTACGCACTATACCATTGGAGAAATTACACTGTTTAGCCAGTATTACACCACCTGGAAGTAGCAGCCAGTAATGAAAGGACCAAGGCAATGAGATCTCCTGCTCATCCCCAGTTCGGATATCAGCCAGCAAGACAACAGCTGAAATCAAGAAATAGCTTCCTAAGATCTACAGAGATACTCACAGGAACACCTCAGCAAGCGAGAGTCCAAAAGTGGCAGGTTAAAATCTGGAACCTCAATAAGTGGCCAATACCAGGTGAGAAACTCCCCCCTTGGCACACAGTAGACTGGGAGATGTGGAAGGCGCTGAACAGGCTGCGCTCTGGCACCACGAGATGCAGAGCCAATTGTAAGAAATGGTGCTACAAAGTGGAGTCCACGACATACGAGTGTGGACAAGAGTAAACCACAGACCACCTACTACAATGCAGTCAGAACCTTGCCACATGTACAATGGAAGACCTTCTCACAGTGACAACAGAGGCACTCGAAGTGGCCAGCTTCTGGTCAAAGGACATTTAGTATAACGCCAAGTTTTAACTTTGTGTTTTTTATACATTACAACTGTATTCTCTGACACAATAAAGAAACGAACAAGGTTGTGCTGAGGTGCCACCAAACTACTAATCTCAGGATTCCATAGCACTCAGCCAGGGACGTCTGAGTGGTGTCAAACTGCATTAATTCTTCACTGCATATGCACTCATAGTCTGTGGTATAAAAGGAGCCCAGTATTAGGCACAAAGATGCTAGAGCTCGCTTTACAAAAATGAAACAATATTTCAAATCCTTGAGGATATAGACCAGTGGTTCTCAGCCTGGGGTCCCCAGGTATTTTTGGCCTTCAACTCCCAGAAATCCTAACATCTGGTAAACTGGCTGGGATTTCTGAGAGTTGTAGGCCAAAAGCATCTGGGGACCCCAGGTTGAGAACCACTGATACAGACAGTGGATAGCGATGACGAAAGCAACACCACACCATGGCCTTTCACAGTGCCCTTTGCGCTGTACTGATTCTCTAATATAATACTGAAAGATTCATGGCAATGATTATCTTAATTGTTATCTTAATGTATAATCACATTTACAACTGTGTTCCCCTTCATAACAAGACCCAAACCATTAACATTCACTGAGACAATATTTACCTTAGCCACACTCACAGGGTGTGAAAAGTTTCAGTGTAAGTGTACAATTCCGACTTGTTGCTATAATCTTATCACTAACTGGAGAGCTAACTTTTTCAAGAATACAAATGCATAGCTCGTAAACCATTTCCGTATTTTTCAACAGCAACAGTTCAGTCAACAGTAGCATCAGAGTTTTAACTAATACCCATATCCAAAACAAGAGTCTTTAAAGCAACTTCTGTGCTGAGGCAGACTGCACCCAGCAATCTTTAATGGGAGTGAGCTAGGAAGGGTTCAACTGGGTTGTACCAATACTAAAGGACCGTTCTATTTCCTGTCTGGCTGTTTTAGTGTACTGTATTGCGGGGACAGAAACTGAAGCAAGATGGAGGAGAGAAATGCAAACGTTATGTTGTTTGTTTTCTGTAGCACTGAGACCAGGTCGAAATAACTGTACTAAGGGACAGTAGGAATGGATGGCAATGTTATATTTGGAGCCATTACAGAGGTTCTCCCACTTTGCACATCTCACCTTCTTCCCCGGCCAGGCCCCTAGCCAGGATTTTGATTCGGGGAGGGGGAGGGTTGAGTTTGATTCGGAGGTGGATTTGATTTGAGGGGGGGCCTACCCCCATGCATATGGGATATATTGAGCATGATGATCAGTTCATGATATGAATAAACATAACAGTTTAAATAATGTACCAGTAAGGCCTTCTCGTGGACCACCCTGAGAATTTCGGGGGGGGGAGGGGACTGAAGCCCCTGAAGCCCCCCCCCCCTTCCCTCCGGCTACAGGCCTGTCCCAGGCTATCTTCATTTGGTAGTGGAATTGAATCTTTGTTACTACCATTAACAGGGGCCAGGTTGGGTAGTAATATATGTGCTGGATTGTTTTGGGTTTGTTTTTTTATGGGTGAAGACGCCAATGTTTTGCCATAACAAAACAGAACAAGTTTGATAGAAAGAATCTATATAACAGATTATATATTCCTGTCAGCTATCTGTATGAAGTGTGAGCATTTTCTGCTCACATTTCATTTACAAGTCCTGACGTATCTTGACTTTGGTTCTTTTATAGTTCAGAGATCTGGGGGTATTAAAAACCTACATGGTGGAATCTGTGGGTATCACATGGAGTGAATAATTATGTCTCTAACCGACACATGGGAATATTTACCTACAGTCTGATATGATATTTCAATCTTTCAGCTGAATATTTATGCAAATTTCAGGGAACCACATGACCATGGCTGTGTCTACACAGCCAAAACAGTACAGACTCACTGTCCAGCTGATAGAGGAGGAGGTCCACATGATGCATAGCTTGATTTGCAGTAAAACTACTGTGTCCAGACAATGGAGAATGGGGTTGACTCCACAGCTTCCTCGAAGCTTTGGAGTGATCCTGAATTCTCAGAGGTATGACCCACGGTCCACAAAGCTAAGCAAGTAGCTCCCTTTCAGATGTTTGCTGGAGGAATCAATATCACACCAGAGTACCGAGCTATCTGACCAGAAATATGATGTTGTCAGAAAGCTTCTGGGAGGGAGTGGTTTGCTGGTGCTGCTATAACAGCAGAGGCAGAGTCCGTGATGTGACTCAGCCTGGCCAGCTTTGTAAATCCATCTGAGAAGCTCTGGAATGTTTTAACCCATATTTATCTGATAGGTATAGGTATGGCCCACATCTCTACCTGCTTACACATTTCTCAGGCCTCACATGAACACATTTAGCCTGTAGCTAGTCTCCTCTAAATCTTCAACTCTGAACTAAAAATCTTGCATTAGAACAGTTCTTTGGGTTGTTATTTTCATCTTGGGCTTGACCAAGGTATAATTCTACAGTAAAATATTATTAAAACAAGGCAAATAAGGGGGCAGGGAGAAAAAAATGTGTCAGAGGTGAAAGGGAATCCATGTCCCCATGGCTGTTCCCAGTTTTTTTGGCTGGGGATGGGATCACTGTTATTTTTGCACTGGAAACTCTCTTTATTGGAAGCTCTTAAAATACAATGGGTCCGAAGTAACCGAGGGGGTTTGGTTCTAGGATCGTCTGTGAATGTTCAAATCCCATTACATAGTAAAGGTAAAAGGTTTCCCCTGACATTAAGCCCAGTTGTGTCTAACTCTGGTGTGGTGGTACTCATCTCCATTTTTAAGCCAAAGAGCCGGCTTTGCCCATAGACACCTCCAAGGTCATATGGCCAGCATGACTGCATGGAGCACCGTTACCTTACTGCCAGAGTGGTACCTATTTATCTACTCACATTTGCATGTTTTCAAAGTTGTCAGAAGCTGGGGCTAACAGCGGGAGCTCACCCCACTCCCCAGATTTGAACTGGCGACCTTTCGGTCAGCAGGTTCAGCAGTTCAGCGGTTTAACCCACTGTGCCACTGGGAATCCGTTTTATAACATGAACACCTCAAAGGACTGCCAGAGAGCCTAAGGATCTATGAAATGGTTAGATCTGCCTATATATCAGAATTGTGCTCGGAACATGGCAAAATCAAGTCTTCCTTTTGGGGGATTTTTACCCAAATATTTTAAAGCTGTGATTGGATGAATGAGAAAATGCAAAACTTGTGGCTATAGAGTATTGACCATATGTTCTTTAGTACTGTAACAATTTTATAATGAATCTTGAGGTATGTTAAGGGTTTGTCAGTGTATATAGCGACATACACTTTATGATAATTGTACCTGAATGGGGACAATTCTTAAAAATGAAGCAGTCTTAAAGATCCTGATCACACCCTGACCCTTGGTATGTAATATTTAAACATGATGAAATGAAAGAGTGAGTCTCTTGTTCTTGCACACCCACTATGTGTCAGAATGCCCTGCTTTTTCAGGCGTGTATGCACATACATTTCTACGCACATAATTCCCGTCCCTTCTTTCTTGTGGCAGATGGATCGAGTGGGTGGGATACATGCAAATGGAGATATATGCGCATGTAAGACCAATCACAGCACGTTCTCAATGCTGTGGGAAGCACAAGGTAGAGATTTTCTCCAACGCCTCTCTGGCTGTAGAGTTTCTATACCAGAGCCAGAGTGTGAATGAGTACCTTATTTGTTCAAATTACTGAACGGTCAACTCTTTGGCCTTTCCTTCAGACTCTGATATTTTCTCTCGGCTCCTCATTGAATAGTACAAAAGAAACAAAACCAGAATTCCAGTAGCTGCCTCCCTTGTGATACATACTAAAAGCCGAAGCACATACACAATTATCACTCCCCATGATCCAGAATAATCTCAGACGTTATGCACTGCAGCATCATATTACAAGGTTCTCAATGCCATGACTAACCAAAGGGATTCTGAGACAAAGCCACGTGCTCCCTGCTGTCCATGGCTTAATCACCAAACGAAGCTTCAAAATCCCCACCAATCCAAGCCCTGGAAGAATGGCTGTACCATCAACATACCTGAAGGCTTCAATGAGACGCTCCACCTTCTGTGCCTCTCCTTGCACCCGAATGTGGGACTGGAATTTCCGCAAAGCGTCATCCAAATCCATGCTGGAGAAATCCATCTCGTCTACCACACAGCTGAAAGGCAACAAAAAAGAAGACATTGACACACAAAGGTGACTTGGGCAAAGAGGTTCACATATTGAATCTTGTTATCTTGCATCAAAAACCAGTGTAATTTATGAGTGGGTCATGGGCTGAGCAGCAAAAGTGTAATCTCACACTATTTCAGAGTGATGCTCCTCTAGAAACCTACTTAGGCGATCCTTCGTTGTCCGAGTATAATTGTCTTCCAAGATCAGCGTACTGGTGGTGGGTCGGTAGGTGACTGTGGAGTCCTATTCTTGACCTGCATGTTCTCCCACAGTGAGGGCATTGGTTTCCAGGTGGGAGGTGGTCACAGTTGGGGTTGGCTTGACACGGCTTCCTCTTGGCACATTTCTTTCTTTCACCCTCCATTTGTGCCTCTTCAAATTCTGCAGCACTGCTGGTCACAGCTGACCTCCACCTGGAGCGCTCAAGGGCCAGGGCTTCCCAGTTCTCAGTGCCTATGCCAGAGTTTTTAAGGTTGGCTTTGAACCCATCTTTAAATCTCTTTTTCCTGCCCACCAACATTCCGTTTTCCGCTCTTGAGTTCGGAGTAGAGCAACTGCTTTGGGAGACGGTGGTTGGGCATTCAGACAACATGGCCGGTCCAGCAGAGTTGATGCCTAAGGACAATCGCTTCAATGCTGGTGGTCTTTGCTTCTTCCAGCATGCTGACATTTGTCCGCTTGTCTTCCCAAGAGATTTGAAGGGTTTTCCGGAGGCAACACTGATGGAATCGTTTTAGGAGTTGCATGTGACGTCTGCAGACTGTCCATGTCTTGCAGGCATAGAGCAGGGTTGGGAGGACAATAGCTTTATAAACAAGCATCTTGGTATCTCTACGGATGTCCCGATCCTCAAACACTCTCTGCTTCATTCGGAAAAATGCTGCACTTGCAGAGCTCAGGCAGTGTTGTATTTCAGTGTCAGTGTTGACTTTTGTGGAGAGGTGGCTGCCAAGGTAGCGGAAATGGTTTTGCTGAGCAGCAAAAGTGTAATGTCACATCATTTCAACCCCTCACTCACAGTATACTACAATCTATACTTTCTCTTTAATGCACTGTGAGAAAAAGACATGGTTGAAGGTATACTCTGCAGTTCTGCAATTGCACAAATTCCAGTTCATAAGGTGCAAAGAACACAACAGAACACCTAATGGAAGCAATGGGGAATGTGCATGGAAAGTCTAGCTGTGACGGCTAAAGCTAATGGGGGTTGCAATCCAGCCAACATGTGGAGGTCACAATGTTCTATTAATATCTAGCCAATGTATTCCTCTCACAGATGTACTATACACTGAACTAGCATTCCTGGTAAATCTCTTTTCCTATGTAAATACACAAATGTCCTGCTGCTATAAACTTCAGCAAAAGCATCACTTCAATTAATCATGAGAATACTCAATTAATTCGTATAGTACACAAGCATAGGGAACAAAGGCGATGGGACTATTATAGCAACAGGACATTTGTGTATTTACACTGTACTTATAGATATCTGTGTAGTTAGAGAGAAAATCTCTTTTCCTAGCCCTTGTTTTAGTTTAGAAAATGTGATCACATAGTCTCCCCATGCAACTCATATCACTAATGAACTGCAAACTCATGAGCTGGAAATTTCTTTTCAAATGTTTGCGGTATTACTGCCTTTTCTATTTCTTGTAGAATGGACAACTCACAAAACCATTGGGGAGTTTTTCTTGAAATTTCTATTCTCCTTTATCTTGTAAAAATTACTTTTTAATACACTTTTTATCATTTTTATCATTTCCAAGCTTATGGAGATTTCTGGTCTCCATAAGCTTGGAAATGATAACAGTATTTTTGTGCATATACGCATTTCCCCTAAATACTAAAAACAACCCTTTAAGGGAAACCTGTAGTATGAACTCCATACTTCTAGGGATATGAATGACATGCTGATCCTTAAGAGGATTTGAGTTAGAGGCGTCCCATTCACAATATCTAATTTCAAGTAGTGCGCTTGTCAAAGCAAGCCTCACCACTTCCTTTTCTCTTTTAAATGTTAGACTTTCCATGCACGTTCCCCATTGCTTTAACTAATTTACAGGCCATAAAATTCTCCAGCAAGCATGCAAAGAATGAGAAAGTACTTCATCAGTGTCACAAATGGTCGGTGAAAGGACAGCTCCCCTGGTGGCCAGAATACCCTCAAGAAAAGTTGGAATGTTAAATTGCCTCTGTGTCTGTCTATATATGTTGTGTGTCTATGGCATTGAATGTTTGCCATGCATATATATTGCACCGGGATTGTGGCGCATCTGGCTGAGTGTCAGCTGCATTAAGATCACTTTGACCAAAAGGTCATGAGTTCGAAGCCAGCCTGGGTTGGAGTGGGTTTCCAACCAATTGTGTGTAGCCTGTTGTCGACCTTTGCAACCCGAAAGACAGTTGCATCTGTCAAGTAGGAAAATAAGGTACCACCTTAAAGTGTGGGGAGGCTAAATTAACTGATTTATGAGGCCATAAAGAAGACTCCAGCAAAGCATTCCAGCGGGGAAGTATGCGGGGAATGCGGAAGCACTTCATTAGCGTCGCAGATGGACGATGAAAGCAACAGCTCCCCTGGTGACAAGAAAAAGTGTATGTCTGTATATGTTTGTATGTCAAAAATTGGCATTGAATTGTTGTAAACCGCTCTGAGTCGCCTAAGGGCTGAGAAGAGCGGTATACAAATAAAGTAAATAAATAAATAAATAAATAATAAACAAATGTTTGTCATATATGTGTACATTGTAATCCGCCCTGAGTCCCCTGCAGGGTGAGAAGGGAGGAATATAAATACTGCAAATAAATAAATAAATGTACAAAGAGTCAATATTTATGCAACCTTCAATGAGCCCGGGAACAGAGTGGACTGTAAAAGTTGAACCAATAGTTGGGTAGGGGAGAGTAGTTATGTAGAATTCCTTACTCCAGTACATCCCGGTTGAACTGCTTCTGCCGGTTGCCCAGGAACTCTCCGATCATCTGCCGGCTCAACCCCTTCCGCTCCAGGATAAAGCGTGCCACGCCAACCGGGGTGTCCGATAGAAAACCTCTCTCAATCAAATACTGGATACCCTTCTCTGGTTTCCTGCCGGTGGGATGAGAAGAAATGCATATGAATGTCTCAAACCATTTTAGATCTCAAAGCCACCAGTCCAGAGAGCCAATTTCAGAAACAAAACATGTAGCTTTGCTACTGGGCTACAGTGCTAGGGACTTCTCCACAAAGGCGTAAATAAACCAAGTATTCATTGTGCATTTGATTCTAAACTGTCACCGCAATGTTCTGCCACTTCTGGTGGATATGGTGGGGTTAACAAGGTTAAAGCCCCTGTTAAAAATGCTGGAATTTGCCTGAAGCTCTGCAGCTACCTCAGCTTTGGCGTGCTGTTGATTTGGTCCAGTCCACATGGCCACTGCCGCCATCCCTTGTGCTTGTCAGCCCCTGGGAGCAGAGATGTCAACATGGATGGTAAAGTGACGGGCCAGCAGGGCCAATAGATTATTGACCTGTCTGAACTATCTAGGCCAGGGGTCCTCAAACTAAGGCCTGGGGGCTGGATGCGGCCCTCCAAGGTCATTTACCCGGCCCTCACTCAGGGTCAACCTAAGTCTGAAATGACTTGAAAGCACAGAACAACACCCATCCTATTTCATCAGCCAAAAGCAGGCCCGCACTTCCCTAAATGAAAGCATGACAATTAATCTTCATCTTTTGGCCGAGCTTGGAGATTAAATGGTTACTTGCAGCTGCTTAAAAAAAGATCCGAGGTGCAAACTGCTGACTTGATGGCATCAAACACGTTCTCCTCCCGTCCATTTTGCCAATGCTTAAACACCCACAGCAGACAATGAGGCAGCGGCACGAGGCAAAGTACAAGCCAGCACTTGAATCATGAGGTAGTCCTCTCTCTCCATACAGTGAAGCCATAGAAAGCTCTGTTACTCTGAAGCCATATGAAATTACGGTAAGTTACAAAGCACAACTACTTCATCAGTTACCCTGTTTTTGAATGGGTGGGGGAGAGAAAAACTAATGGACATAACTGGTTGATAAGGAATTGGGATTGGTAAGGTTAAGTAAATAAGATACATTATATTGAGTGATAATGTAAGTATAATTTCATTATTGAGATGTGTATTACTCTACTTGCACCTGCAATAAAAAAAACCCAAAATTTTAAGAGCAACTCACAGTATACAGCTCTGCTGCCAAGCCCTAGTTGTAATGGACAGTAGTCACAATACTGGGTTGTTGTAGGTTTTTCCGGGCTATATGGGCCATGGTCTAGAGGCATTCTCTCCTGACGCTTCGCCTGCATCTATGGCAAGCACCCTCAGAGGTAGTGAAGTCTGTTGGAACTAGGAAAAGGAGTTTATATATCTGTGGAATGGATGCTTGCCATAGATGCAGGCAAAACGTCAGGAGAGAATGCCTCTAGACCATGGCACAATCAAAGTATATGTTAAGAGAATATATCTGGTCATTCCTCAGATACATAAACCCATTTTCCTAGTTCCAACAGACCTCACTACCTCTGAGGATGCTTGCCATAGATGTAGGCGAAACGTCAGGAGAGAATGCCTGTAGACCATGGCCATATAGCCCGAAAAAACCTGTAACAACCCAGTGATTCTGGCCATGAAAGTCTCCGACAATACATAGTCACAATACTATGTATTGCAAGAACTATTTTCTAGTGAATATGGGGCAGAGGTTTGAGCAGATTCAAATGCCAGCTTGGATTTGGAAACTCACTCAGTAATCATGCACAAATCACATTCTCTCAGCATCAGAGAAAGGCAAAGGCAAAATCTACTCTGAACAAATCTTGCCAAGAAAACCCCATGATGGGTTCACTTTAAGGGCTGCCATAAGTCAGAAACACAACTTGAAGGCACACAACAACAAAGCTATTTACTAACTAGTTTCTTGCAAGCATTAGAACTCCAAGAAACACTGCTATACATAGATCACATTTGAGGAATCACAATGGGAGATGGGACATGATATTCTAATGTCATCTCTACAGGCCAGATTTCAAAAAGTGTTGCCATCAATCCACTTAAACCAGTGTTTCTCAACCTTCCTAATGCCGTGACCCCTTAATACAGTTCCTCATGTTGTGGTGACCCCCAACCATAAAATTATTTTCGTTGCTACTTCATAATTATGATTTTGATACTGTTATGAATCGTAATGTAAACATCTGATATGTAGGATGGATTTTCATTCACTGGACCAAATTTAGCACAAATACCCGATATACCCAAATATAAATACTGGTGGGTGGGGGGGGGGGTGATTTTGTCATTTGGGAGTTGCAGTTGCTGGGATTTATAGTTCACCTACAATTCTGAACTCCACCAATGATGGAATTGAGCCAAACTTGGTACACTGAACTCCCATGACCAAGAGAAAATACCAGAAGGTTTTGGTGGGCATTGACTTTGAGTTTTGGAGTCATGGTTCACCTACATGCAGAGAGCACTGTGGATGCAAACAATGATGGATCTAGACCAAACTTGGCACAAATACTCAATATGCCCAAACGTGAACAGTGGTAGAGTGTGGGAGAAATAGGACTTTACATTTGGGTGTTGTAGTTGGGAGAACCCTATACGGTTCTGGTCCAGCGTACCTGTCCGAACGCATCTTCCTCTATGTCCCACCCCGGAGTTTGAGATCATCTGGGGGGGGACCGGACCTGCTCTACCCCACCACTATCACAAGTGAGGTTGGTGGGGACGAGGAGCAGGGCCTTCTCAGTGGTGGCCCCTCACCTGTGGAACTCACTCCCGGGGAAATTAGGGCATCAACATCCCTCCTCTCCTTCAGGAGGAAAGTAAAGACGTGGTTGTGGGACCAGGCCTTTGGGCAATCTGACAACTAGATAAGGATAATCAGACGATTAGGACTGACAATTTGGAAACTGGACTATGAGATGGTGAACGCTGACCGTTAATGAGGTGCAATTGGTTTTTAGTGGTTTTATCGGCTTTATTGGTTTTATTGTTATATGCAGAAACTGTTTCTTAACTGTTAATTGCTGCTAGATTGTTTTATACTACTGTTATGTGATGTCGGCATCGAATTGTGCCTTTGTAAGCCGCCCTGAGTCCCCTCCGGGGTGAGAAGGGCAGGGTAGAAGTAACCGAAATAATAAAATAAATTATATTTCACCTACAATCAAAAAGCATTCTGAACTCCACCAATGATAGAATTGGACCAAACTTCCCATACAGAACCCCAATGACCGACAGGAAATACTGTATTTTCTGATGGTCTTTGACAACCCTTCTGACACCCCCTTGCGACCCCATTGACTTAAACCGTTGGAGCTTCTCCATCTGGTGCTTCAGCTAGGTGCCGAGCTTTTTACACACACACACACACACACACACACACACACACACACACACACACAGAGGCCCGTAGCGAGGGGGGGGTTAGGGGTTCAACCCCCCCCCCGAAATGTTTCAGATTTTTTTAAAAAACCTGGTTTACTCATGAATTTTAACTGGTTAACCGAATCCCCATGCTAAGTCTATGAAATGCAAAAAATCAAGAGTCCCTCCAGAACTGCAAGCACTATCTCAAGCAAATATTAGCAATTTATTCACACTGTCATTACTTGCAGCAATAGCCGATGTAGTTGTTCTGGTACAGCTGTACCAGGAGCTCCAACTTTATTTGCTTTGTATTAAATGTTTGCTTGCAGTCCTAGGTTTCAGGGACTCTGCAGATAGGTGGCTTCTTTGGTTGCAGTCATAGGGCAAGTCACTGTCCATCATTGTTAAGTTTTGGTCCCGCCCCTTGCTCAGGGCAATTGGGAAGGGAAGGGAGCCATTTTTAGTTAGTCTCAGCAAGGTAAGCTTATGTATAAGATGTGTGCAAGCTTCCCCTGTACAAAAGCTTCAACCCTTAAGACCTTCCTGGGAAGAAAGGTCTTAAGAGTCTCCAAAGAATTTCCAGGAAAATAGCCCTAAAGACCAAAGAACTCCAGCTGAAGAATATCTACTGCCTTGCTGGTAGGTCCACGCGACGTTCGAGACACAGTTCGATCCGGTAGCGGAGCCCACATCAGTAAGGGTTATATTACAGTCAGCCTGGGAGAAGTTAAAACGGGGATTTTCCTTTAAAGAGGAAGTTATTGAAGACAGTTGCCTGTCCTTCGTGGGCAAGATTAGGAATTCACCAGTTGCCTAAAAGCTTGGAATCATTTGCTTAACTTTACTGAAGACAAGAGAAGTTTCTGTTTGATTGTTCATTAATAAAATACTTTGTTGTACTTCTCAAGCCATCTAAAGACTTTTTGTGGTGGAAACCTCTGAGAACTTCTCTTTAGGCCCCCTGGCTTCCTGCTGGGCAAAGGTTGCACATCCTGTTCTAAAGACAATTATTTACAGGCCCAATGCGCGACAGAACAGTAGTGAAGCAACCAAGTTGGGGGGGGGGGGGGATGTTGAATGCTCTCATTAAGGAGGCCAGACTTGGTGGAGGTGGTTGACAAGGGCGGAGCTGCAGGCTATTGAAGGCTGCTCTGCCCCCTGCTGTGCTCTTTGCTTCAGCGTGAGCTAGGAGGCAGGTTTCAACCCCCCCCGCGCGAAATTTTCAACCCCTCCCAAAACATTTTTCTGGCTACGGCCCTGCACACACAACCTGGTTGCCACAGACTAAAGGGGCTCCCAGACTGAGATCCGTCTGGTCCTGACAGTCTGCGTCACTTCTGCCTAACAGACATCTCTCCTCATACCCAGGGCACAGATGATACTTTCCATCTCATCCTCATCAATGAGAGGAGCAGCAGCCACATCTCTGGAAAGAGGATATTCAGCAAAATTTATTTGACCATGGTACGGTACTGGTTATCCCTCAGGTAGCAACACACTTCAAAGGCCAGGGCAGCCTAGGCTGGGGGCTGCAGAAATAAACAGGATACAAAGCCAAAGCTGGTTTTAATAGTCCCCCTCCCCACTATGGTCAAGTCCTGGTCGAATAAAGTGCTAAATGGACTGAACAACTTCAGAATGATGGTATGTAGTGCCCTTATTGAATGCCATCTCATGAAACATAGCCAAATTCCC